ATTTAAGGTGAATAATGGGATTTGTCACCTTCGATCATAATATGATCTCTTCTTGATCACATATCAAGGCGATATCTCACTTTAAGCTAGTACTTGCTCTCAAATTTTATTGTCCTACTACAACAATAAAAATGCTTAAAATTATCTCATTTCTAACTGACACGCAAGTCATAGAAGTGATTGCTCGTGTGAGAGAGCCAATCTACTGTACGACATACTTCTCATTAAACGTACTAAACATTTTGTGTGCCTGCATAGTAAAGTACAAAACTTTATTCCATAGTTTAAAATATACAATACAATTTGTTCAGAAATACAAACTTAAAGTCTTCGCAATCCTAAATATTTAATGTGGCTATTAAATACATCTCTAGGAATAGGCTTAGTAAAGGGGTCCGCAACCATGTTGCTCGTTGATATATATTGCACATTTACTTCCTTTGTGCAATCATATCTCTAACAAAATTGTATTTGATATCGATATATTTTGTCTTATAATGATATTTGGGATTCTTCGTGAAAGTTATAGCAGCCTGACTATCACAGTTTACCAATACTGAGTCAGGCGCACTTTCTTTAAATCCCAAATGACTTAAGAATCTCTTAAGCCATACTGCTTCTTGTACCGCCGCTGAAAGTACCACAAATTCAGCTTCCATTATAGACAAGGCTATACAAGTTTGTTTCTTGCTACTCCAAGATATTGCTCCATTGTTGATTGTTCACGTATTGACTCCACTAAATCATGTGACAACTCATCATTTGAGTCACGAGTGGTTTGTGGTTCATCCAATGCACACGTAGTATTTAGATATCTCCCACTTGGATGAGATACTGTTGGTACAGTACTGATTCTATCCCACGATAGATTTGATGAAAGCAAATCATTCTGATTATAATTTTCAAATAGGGATATCTCATCACTGATCTCACCTCTCCTTGAAAAATCAATCTCCAAGAAAGTAGCATCTCGTGATTCAAATTCAGTTACACTCTCACTTTCTTGTTTACTAATGAACACATACCCTTTTGTGTGTTCCGAGTATCTTATAAATATACTCTTTTTATCTCTTGGATCTAATTTCTCATGTGGATGTGATGACTCATGTACATAAGTAGAACAACCTCATGACCTTAGACCACTAAGGTTGGGTATTCTACCAGTCCATAACTCATAGGGTGTGGAAGAAACAGATTTGGAAGGCACGTGATTAAGGATATAAGCAATGGTCAATAGAGCATCACCCCAAAAAGTGATTGGCAATTTTGTATGAGCCATCATTGACCGAACTATTTCAAGAAGACTTCTATTTCTTCTTTCAGCTACTCCATTCTGTTGTAGTGTTCGAGGAGTAATTAGCTGCCTTACTATACCTTTTTCGTCACATAGCTGTCTAAACTGATTAGACAGATATTCATGCCCTCGGTCAATTCTTAAGGCCTTAACCTTTTTATCTAATTGATTTTCCACTAAGTTTACAAATTTTCTAAAACATTATAATGCTTCAGACTTGTGGGAAATCAAATAAACTTGACCATGATAAAATATTCACTTCCATGTCGAGCCTTTATACTCATAAGTCCACAAATACCATAATGAATTAATTGCAATGGAGTTTCAGCCCTAATTCCCTTACCAAATGGTTTTCTTGTCATTTTTCCCGCTAGACAACTTTCACATAAAGGTAATTCTATTTTGTCAAATTGACCTAATAAACCTTCCCTAGTCAGTCTAATCATTTTATGTTGACCTATATGACCTAATCTAGCATGCCACATAGTCATGACAACATTAACATCAACAGATGACGTTATAAGGGAAAAACTTGCAGAATTGTAAGATATCGTTTCAGCAACATCAAATATAATAAAACCATTGAAAATAAAACCACAACCATAATGTATGTTGTTCAAATATATAGTTAACGAGTTTCCACTCATAGTAAAAGTGTAACCAAGTTTGAGAAAGACAGTAACAGAAAAGTAAATTTCGCCGAATATCAGGCGTATACAACACATCATGTAGAAGTTGAGTGCGTCCATTCCTCATGTTTAACTTGTAGGAACCAATGCCCTTTTACAGGCACACGGGCATTGTTTCCTACATACAGCCACCTAGCTCCTGATGGAATTCGACGAAATTCCACATACACCCCACGATCTTTAGCTACGTGGTCGGTTGCTCCTGAGTCTACAGCCCACAAAGGATGAGAGTCAGTCAATAAGACAGAGCTAGAAACACAACTTTTAGAAGTAAAAGAACAAATCTTAAACATTTTGAAAGTTTGTACCTTATTGGGTTCAGTACACTCACAAGCATAATGGCCGTTTTGGTGACAATTGTGACACTTGATATTTACTTTCTTGTTTTTAGGACGAACCATGGGACGCTTCCCCTTACCCTTGTCATTCTGACCTTGCTTGGGTTTCTTATTCTTGTGATCCCCTTTCCCTTTAAAACCTCCCTGATGTTTACGCTTGTGCCTTTTGTTCTCATGTGAGCTAGGGCCAGCCACATAGGCTTCAGTGTTGTAAGGCCCTGTTGCCTCTATACGGTCTTCTTCCAGTTCAAGATGACGTGAAACATCAGTAAGAGTTAAAATTCTCTCATTATGGGTAAGATGCACCTTCATGTGTTCCCAATTTTGGGAAAGAGATCGAATAGCAGCTTGAACTTGTTGTTCATCAGTTAGGACATGACCAGCTTCTTTCAGCTCACTAATCATATTAGACATCTCTCTCATGTGTTGTCTCATATTATGATTAGGACGTTTTTTATAAGTATCAAACTTAATAGTAAGTTGCCTAACTTTAGTGACAGAGGTCCCACCAAATATCAACTTTAACGCATCCCACATGTTCTGGATAAGGTCATAAGAGCGAGACTCACGCATAACATCGTAGTCCATGCTGCTCAGCAATTTATGCAAGCAAGTGAGTTTTTTTCTTCCAAACTTCATAAGCCTCTTTGTCCCTCCTATGTTGAGCATTATTGCCTTCTTCAGGCTCAGTCAACACATTGCTTAACACTTCTAGAGTCTCTTGCTCTTCCAGTACATATTGGGTTTTCATGGCTCAAATCTCATAATTATCCTCATTAAGCTTCTCCCCTTTCTTCAATTCAACAATTATATTTTTTGAAGCAGATGTCATATTTTCAGAGTCTACATGTCATATTAGCACATATATCAATTCACATGCATAACACACTACCCCTTAATATTTTACGAATTTCAAATAAATTTTATCATAATTATTTTGTTCAACACCGAGTCGAAATTTCACTAAGTTTCCAAATCATCGTCAATGTTTGAACCAAATAATTATAGACAAACTTATCACATTGTAAAATAAACAAAGATTTTACCAAAAAGTTACGAGAATAATGAAACACAATCATCATTCATAGCTCATAGTAAAATTAAACCCCGAAAGTGGGCACAATTTTCATTTAGTATATATGTCAACAACTATATATATACACAAACATGTACATGAAAACTTTTACAATTGCACCCGACGAACAGGAAATGAATTTTTAAAAATTTCATAAAGAACTGTTGGAATTTTGTGGTTGCAAACAACCACTCCATGTTTGTTTCGATTTAGACAGATCATTTCTCCATAGACTGAGGCTTCTGCCTTTCCAAAGCAGCTTGTATATTGAGCTCATGGACAAAAGCTTTAGTCAGTATCTTGTAAAGGTCATCTCCACTGTGTCGACTCCAGACATTATCTAAGAAGGTCTCGAGGCATTGGAGAGGTAGGAGTGATCTTAAGACACTCAATCTTTGATCATCTAGTAGTAAACGTCCTTCCCAAATAATCATTTGAAGCTGATTATTAACTTGGTTTATATACTGGACTAAGTATATTAAATCCAATTCGTGACCCAGTTCAAAATTTATAAGGGATAAGTCTTCTATCATCTTATTCACTATAGACCTCCTAACTTTTGTCCTAGGGACCTTTGGTGCCTTTATCATCCTTGCCATATTTTCTGTAAAGACAAAATCACCAAGGAAACAAAATAAAAAAATATTGTTTTTTAGCCAATAAAACATAATAACTTGAAACAATTACGTGATTTGCAAAGGTGGTAGGGGGCATATTTTTTAAGTTATAGGTCAAGGGTTCAAACCCGGAATAAACCTAATTGAACCAGATCGAGTCTTTTTGAAAACAGGAATTAGAAGACTAAACTGGTTACCAACAAGTTCGATTTTCTATTTTTGAAAAAAAAAAACAGTTATCAAACATTTTGTTTGTTTTATAAAACCGGAAAACAAAAAAATAAATAGCATAACTAGAAATCATTATAAAGAAAAAGGTCAAAGGAGAATGTGCAGTGTGCACCCACCCATCCTCGCCCCGTTTATTATTTTTATTATATATATAACTTTTGATTTTTCCTCCTGCCCCTTTTTAATTGAATTTAATTATTCTAATAATTAAAAGAAAACTATATCATGATTAATGAATTACAATTTTGCCAAAGTTGAAACTCTTACCTATAGTTACGAAAGAGGTAGATGTCGATAAAAATATCGATAGATATGATGTCGATGGATATTTATAGAAAGTTATAAAAAGAAAAAAACTCTAAAAATTATGCAATTTACTCAAACTAAAATTTATTAATATCAATATTATATCCATATTTTTATTTTTTATATTTTGACTTTTCTTTTCTGACTCACTGTCACAATCACAAGTCACGAAATGAAAATGGTAAAACTTAGATATTTATCAGTAATTGAGCTACAGTGAAGTCGTCATTAATATCTTACTCACCGCTATTAAAAAGAAAAATTGAAGTTGAAACTGAAACTGAAATCGCAAGGAGGATTTTGATATTATTGTCGAAGGTCTTTTTCTGATTTTCCTTTAAATTTTCTTAGTGAAAGTGAATTGTAATATATATTTGTATCCACCCATTTTGCCTCATCATCCTGAGACAGCCCAACAAGCCTATCAACTTTGCACTTTGGCAATATATATCAATTTAACAAAAGGAAATTTTGTATTCACATCAATCATTCAAGGCCACATAAGGAGTCCAAATCAAAAGCATTGCTTCCAAGCTAACAACATATTTGAAGTCTCAAGGTACTGTGTTCTTCCCAAGTTCCCGCAAATGTTAGGCCTAGCTCACGTATAGTTCGAGTAATTTTATTCGACAAATGCTCCCATTTGAAAATTAATAGAATGTTTTACCATTCTAGATAAATATAGTTACCATAATTTGAATCTTTAACTTCAAAGTCAGTCGTCCTTTTGACCAATGAACCGAACTTGTGGAGGAAAGCGTTATAGTACAGTCAGCCAAAAAAAAAAAAACATATTGTCTTTTACCCACCAAAAGGGATTTTGGATGCTCCTTTTCCTGCAATAAATGAAGTAAACAGAAAAGACTCAAGGTTAGATAGGTTGCAGGCCATTGACATGATAAGACAGAGCAATGGGATGAGAAGCATTCAAAATGTGGACTTGTAGCCTTGTTCATATTGTTAGTTCTTTTTTTTATATATATATATCCGTAAGTGTCTCGGTCAGTTGTACGCATCTCGATTATTTTCACGGGATAACTATCTTTCCCTACTACATTTGGTTACCAAGATATATAAATTAAGTCATCCATGATGGGACTCAAATATTTTAACCCAATCATCAAACAAGTTAGGATCCTTTGCAAACGACCAGAACCCGATTCAGGTCCCTACATCTCCTAAAATATGACCGTACTATGTAACTTCTTGAGATGCTTTCGAAATTGAAAGTTGTCTCTATTAACCAAATACGAGTCTTTTCAACATATTTTATCAATACTTACATGCTACCGAGAAAATTTTATTCACTCAACCTAGAATTGCTCTATGCCAAAAACAATTCTTATTTTCTTCTTCTTTGTGTGTGTAAGATTCACTATAAAGTTTCTAATGGGTGAGCTACCAAAGAAGTTTTGCACCCTGCTGATAAGATTCACTGTAGAGTTGAGCTTTCCTTAACTTTGCTAATTTTATCGAAATCGCTCTCATTTCAATGTGGTATCAATTTATTCATGTATCCTTTCACCTCAAAGAATATTATCATGAGCTGCTTATTCTTCCTGATTCCCCTAATGCAGCAGCAACTGTTCCCTATTTTCTTTAGGCCCAGGTGCCACATTCATGGTCCAAAATGCCATTTTGGCATGGAGTTAAACTTTGGTTCTATCAATAAAGGAAGGAAAAATGCATATTCTTGCAGAAGATAAGCCAGCATCAGCAGTGAGTGTGTTATGCATCAGACGCAGAACATAAAGCAGATTTACGCTTAATCTGGTCAATGGAAACCAATCAAACCAATCTTATATTTATATCTACTTCCCACCCCCCTATTCAGAGCACAAATTGTAGCTTAAATCAGTAAGGAAACTGTATCAATTTCTATCAAACTTGTCATAATCAAGAAGCAAAGGAGTCATAATTGACAAATTTAAACAATAATGCCAGGTGAAAGAAAGTAGCACCTGAAGTTAATCATACTTTTCTCTCCATGAATACACAAGAAAGAAAACCCATGACAATGCCAATGTGATATCCCCGACGACCTGCCGAGGCCAATCTCGAGCGAGATCCTCGAGCTTCCTTTCAAAGTAAACTCTCCATATGGCCATGGCTAGGTGAAGCAACACGCACCCTTTGGCAAAAAAGGTTTGGAACTCTCTGTCTTTGACAAAAGCCACCATGAACAAAAGGAATCCAACAGTAAAGAGAAGCAAACCAGAGAAGGAATCAGATGTTTGTATCAGAAGCTGATCATGGGGGCTAGATCCCTGCAACTTAATAGCAGTCTCAGAGCCATGGCCAAACACAAACACCTCGTGGGAGTAAAACATCATCAAGGCCCCACAAGTTAGAGCAATCAGAGAATGAAGCATACAGATCAACAGAAACCCAGATGATCCCATTGATTTGATCTTCACCTGGTCAAGAAGAATTTCCCTCTTAACAGATTTGAAGTCTACGTAATATTGCAAACCAAATACAAGAGAGGAACAGCAATGGAGTCTCTTGAAGAAGTAAATCTCTAGGGCAAAACATACAAACCCAGCAATCAAAATTCCTCCGCCCCTGATCCAATGTACGAGTTGACAAGGAGAGGATGATGATCACGATCTGCCAAAAACCCTAAACCTCGGTCCCAAAGCAAAAATCCCAAATCAAACAAGCCCTCATTCCACGCCACAAACCAAATATCAGTAGAGATCTCCAGCACCAACGAATCAGAAGGTTCCACAAATTCCAGAATCTGGATTCGACGATACGAAAAAACAAAAATGAGAAACAACCCTCAATTCCGATCGATTCCTAAAGCCGACGCATTCGATCGAACCCAAGAGAAGAGCTGAAAAATCAGAGGGAGAAGCAAGAGAAGCAATCGGGAATGGAGATTAATGGAGGGCAATTGCAATTCCATGAGGAATGTTCTGAATTTAAGGGATTGAGATTTGCAGAGATGGGTGGGAGAGCAGGGGATATGCTTAACTGGCATAGAGATTGCTGCTTCCAGTCGCCATCTCCATTCCCATACCTTCTGCTTCTCATGCGGAAAACGCCACGCTCTGGCTCTTCAGCCAATTCCCTTGATTGTGGTGCTGCAGACCCAGTTGGCATCAATGGGTCAAATTCAATTTCCAAAAATTCCATCCGCCATTCGCCATGATTTTGGAGAAGCTGATGGAAGCTTTAATCGATTTCAGTTAAACAGAGTCATTAATAACAACAATGAAGCTCATTGTGTGGTAAATAATAAATAAATTTAAGTTTTTAGTTAAGATTTAAGGTAAATTACCAATTTAATCCATCATTATGTTATTTTGTACTCAAATTTAAAAAATTTCAATCAAACTTTTGATTTTGATTCACAATCTCACCTTGAGTATTATATCTTCATTCTTATATATGTGATGTATTATTTTTTAAATAGTTATTTTGATTATAATAAATCTCTACTATTAAGAGGATTATTTAGACAAATATTATTATATTAATAAAAGAAAAATACTTCAACTGTCCTAACCATCATTCAAAAATTGATAACTTATTATTTTTAAAAAATAATATTTAGTATCGCATTCCTCTCTCTTAATTATTAAACTTTTAAAGTGGTGAGAATAAGATTCTACTCACTTGCAAGTATTTTCCTTAATTAAATTCTACTAATAAGATTATTTAAATATTGAGTAGAATCAACCTTATGATATTAATAAAATTATAATTATAAAGTAATTTAGTTACTTTTATTCTAAATCAAATTATCTATTTTTTTAGTAAAGAATAGAGGTGGAGTTTGTATGTTATTTCATTATCAAATAAATTAAAAGAAAATGTATTATAGTTCAATTAAGGTTAAATAAAAAATATAAAGTTTTATTTGATTCTTTAAATTTTATAATTGTTTAATTCTAGCCATTTTATTATAAACCATTGTGTTTTGATTCTTAAACTTGGATAAATAATCAATTTTGGATCTTGTGGTTAAGGGATTTTTTTTTATCACATTCAACATAATTTTTAGCAAATATGTGACTTGTAAGTATTGTAAATTCAAATAATGCCAATTAAGTTTTTTTTATTATTCAAATAAATAATTAGCAAATCCTAATTAATAAGATTAAAAGAAGACAAGGAAGGGAAAAAAAAGGCCTATTGAAGATCCCATTCCAAACCTGTTGATGCAAGGATATGCACAACAGTGTATTTCAGATTGCAGCTCGAACTCGGCCTCCGGACCGATCTGAATACTTGGGCGGACCTGCACAAAAAGGTGAGC